AAGAGTAGGAAAACAGTCCTGGAAATGTAAATCCATGCCCCTTAACCTTACTTAAAACGGAGGGCATTTGGAAATGCCTCCTGGGCAGAAGGTGGGAATGGAGGACAGGTCCTGGGAAAAGAGGACGCTCTGGTCATCCTGAGCCCAAGGCTCAAACGACTCCGTTCCTCTTTTTCCTCTCCAGGGTCCTCCTTCCTCCTCCTCCTTGGTAACAAGCAGGGATCTTTCACATCATGTCTTCCCAGTTTTCCCACTCCACTCCTCACCAGCTGTGTGTGTTGTGTGTTGCGTGTCTTCTTTGTTTCCGACTGATGGCAACCCGAAGGCCACCCTACCATGGGAATTTCTTGCTCAGATTGGTTCACAGGAGGTTTGCCATTGCCTTCCTCAGAGGCTGAGAGAGTGTGACTTGCCCAAGGTCACCCAGTGGGTTGTTTCATGGCTGAGCTGGGAATCCAGCCCTGGTCTCCAGAGTCCTAGCCCAGCGCTCAAGCCACTAGGCCACACTGCCTCTCGAGCTAACTCTTTAAACTAGTGTAGTTTACTCTGGAGCAGTGCCCATGTTGGCTGGCAGTCCCGAAACTAACCTTTCCAAACTTCTGGACTGGAGTTTATAGCGGCTTTTCTACCTCTTCTTGCTTTAAATGGACTTCAGAAAGGAACACAGGGGCAGGCAAATGTATCACACCAAGCCCTATTAGGCTCAGCCCACTAAACCCACTGGGTGACCTTGGGGAAGTCACACTCTCTCAGCCTCTGGGGAAGGCAATGGCAAACCTCCTCTAAACCAAGCTTGCCAAGAAATCCCCAGGATAGCTTTGTCTAAATTAAGGTCCCCATAAACCGGAAAGCACTTGAAGACACACAACAACAAAGCACAGCTTTTCACTGTTTTCTCCTCTCCCCCTATATATAGAAACCCTTGTTTTAAGCCGCCTTGGGTCCCTCCTGGGAGAAAGGCGGCATACAAATGGACATAAATGAATAAATCCATTGAGAGATTGAGACTCTTAAATTGCTTTGCCAGGGAAAACCGTTAAAGAGCAATTAAAGTTACTTCTAGCCAAACTGCTGTAAATCGCTGTCATGCCAATCTCATTGAACTCGTTGGGATTTACTTCGGAGTAGATTAAACCCAGGACTGCACTGTAAACAGAATTCCGAATTAAAATCGGTGCTGGGCCCTTTATTGGGTGAAGCCCACTCCCGGAGTTGGTTTCACTGGGGCAGTCAGGGGGGTTAAAGTGGGGTAGAAAGGGAACATCAGGTCCCTTTGATTCATTTTGATCCCCCTCCAATCCGGATTAATGAATGAGAGACCAAAACAAGGTTAGAAATCTGGACTAATTAAAGGAGGGGGGGGAAGCATGTGCTCCTGTCAGTTTAAAATACAGAAGTGAAGCCATCCCTCTTGTTGAAATTCAGTTTGATCTCTATTTCTGACATATATTGGGGATGCTCCAGTCTGTAGGAGAAATCCTAATAAAAGGTTTGAATAAAAGGAGGAGGAAGGGGAGAGCATTCGGTTTAAGTGGGATGGGAGTGATGAATCGCAGGTAGGGAGTGATACAACTGTACTTGCTGTGTGCCTTCAAGCCTGAATTAAACGAAGGATGACTTAGAGGAAACTGGGGCTGAGAGTGTGTGACCCAGTGGGTTTCCCTGACTGATTTGAACTCTGGTCTCCAGAGTCCTAGTCCAATGCTCAAACCACTACACTACTATTGGAGGGGGGGGATGGTTTAAAGAAGAGAAATCAGACCTTGTGTCCCAGGTGAGGCCGTGGCAGAGAAAGCAGGTCTATCTCTTGTAGTGCAAGCTTGCATCTACTCAGAGGTCAGACCCACCCAGCTCAGTACAACTTTGGGCCTTTGCAGACTGTCAGAAATAGTGCAAATTGAGTCCACTTTAAGGGCCAGGGTTAGAGTTAGGGAATCATAGGAACTGTATTTTATTGTGGCACCAGAGCTCTCTGACAGAGAGGGATCAATGTCTCAGAAAATAAAAAACAATTCCCATGATTCCCTAGCACTATCCCTAACCCTTAATGTGGACTCAATTTGCACTATTTCTGGCAGTCTGCAAAGGCTCTTACTCTCCTGCAATAGTGTCTGGGACTCCAGCCTTACAGGAGGGGAGCCCCCTTCAAGTGCAGGGAAGGCAGAAGCACTGTCTGATACTCAGCCTCTAAGAAGGGTACTCTGCACATGCTCAGGAGCACCTTTTCCACGATGCACGTTCCAGGGAGGTTCCCACAAACTCTAAAGAGCCTCCATCCTGTAGTCCCAGAACAACAACCCTAGAGACCAGGGTTCAATTCCCAGCTGGGCCATGAAAGCCACTAGGTTGACTTTGGGTGAGTCACACTTTCTCAGCCTCAGAGGATGGCAATGGCAAACCTCCTCTGAAGAAACTTGCCAAGAAAACTCCAAGATAGTCCTCTGAAAGAACTTGAAGGCACACAACCACAACACCTATAACTTTCCTGTCTCATTTCAGGGACTAAAAAGAGCATCCCCAAGAGGCATCACTTTCACTGCCCTGGCACAGTGCTATGGAAAGCAAAGCTGTGGTACTACAACCCATTTCCATTCCCAGAATTCCATAGCCTGGAGCCAGGGCAGTGAAAGTGGTGTCAAGCTGGATTATTTCTGCAGTGGGGATGTAGGCTAAGGTCTCTCTCTCTCTCTCTCTCCAAGAAAAATAAAACCAGCAGAGTTTTAAAAGTTTGTGAGCATGATGGAAGGAGAATGAGGGAAAGATGGCCTGTTTCAAAGCAGCCAGGACTGCTTTCTCTCTCTCTCTCTCTCTCCCCCCCACCAAAAAAAGAAGGGTGAGGCCATTGTGTGGGTTCTCTCTCTCTCTCTCTCTCTTGTGGTACTATCTAGGTGCCATGTCCATCAAACGCCTCCTCTGAGATGGATGGAGAAATGCTGAGAGAGGATGGCTTCCCCCATCTTCCCCAAAAAGAGAGCAGGGAGGGGGCCAACCTCATCTCTTACAGCAGGGAGTCCCACATTATTGATACTGTATTGATATCAATGTTAATGGTCACTTTTGTAATTTTTCATTTGGGCTGTGTTTTTAGAGTGTAAGCCACTTTGAGCCCCAATCTTTTGGGGAAAGCAGAGTACAAAGAAATACAAAATAATAGTAGCAGTACTACTACTAGTAGTAGTAATACACCAATTACTACATCCCCTCCAGGAATGCCCACCACACCCCAGAATACAAAGCCTTGGTGGGGAAGGATCGTCTGGCCACGATGACTAGATAGACTAACCTCAAAAGAGGATAGGCCCCCAGAAAATGTAGGACACTCAAGAAAAATGTAAGAAATGCCCAAAGAAAAGCTGAAAACACTAATATGTACATTCATGCTTCTTAGTCCCGATCAAAATGTAGAACATTTTGAAATTCTTCCTGGACAGAATGTAGAAATGTAGGACAACTCCTGGAAAAGGAGGATCTTTGATCACCCTGCGACTGGCATTGTTCAGCACCAGCAACCAGCCACCCTGCCTTCTGAAGCAGATCCTGCCCCTTGGTTGGCACATGGCAAAAGATACCAAGTCACGTACACTGCTTTGCTTCTTGTTGGCCCTGTGTGTGTGTGTGTGTGTGTGTGCACTTGCATGTGTGCAAACTGCTTTTGAGTTTCCCTTTCCAAATCTTCTCTTTCAGGGCTGCAGTTTCAAAGGCAAGCTCATGCATCTGAGGAAGTAGGCTCAAGCCTACTAAAAGCTCATGTGTGCCTTTTTCTCCTGAGCTGTAAATACCACCTTCACACTCAAGATTTTCAGGAGACATACTCAGGGATGCCCTTTTGGCTATGCAGCAAAGGACAATAACATCCAAAATCCACAAAACGGTGATACCTTTATTGGCCAACCAAAATGTACAATATACAGGTTGCAGGCTTTCAAAGTGCCACTGGCTTCTTCATCAGACAAAGCGGTTCAAAATCTTTCTTCCAGTTAGTCTCAAAGCTGCTGAAAGATCTTTTTGCACGCTCATCCAAACTATCTTTTCCAGACCTCCAGCCCCTTATTTTCTTTGACAGAGACCTATTTATTTGGTTGGCAGTCGCAGATTCTTCTCTTCTTCTTCTTCTTCATCCAAATGACTTTCCATCTCCTTTTCCTGCAAATCTTGAAGAAAAACAAACCCCAGAGAAACTATTATCTTCTCTTTCCCTGCCCTGCGTCCCTCGGCCTTGCAACCTCCTTTCCCACTAGTATTTTAAAGCAGCCCTCCTGACAAACAGTATTATTATTGCACTTTATGTTTTAGTAGATGTTTGCTGTTGCTAGTTACAGCAACACTTATCATAAGACAGCAAGAAAAGAGTAGTCCCTGGTAATTAAAGTAATGAAATATTCATTTACTCTACCTTTTCAGTAGTGGCACAAATTAGGCGGCTGCATTTAATGCCGGCACTGCCTCTGTTTTTATTATAATGGCAGCTTTCGCATCTGCAATTAGGACTAATTCTGACAGTTACAATTTCTGAGGGATGGTAAACAGCGCACGGAGATGTGCGGCGGTGGCGTTACACGTGAAAAAGCCCTTGTCTCTTTAACCTTGTTGTTTTTTTTCTCTCTCTCGCAGAGGTTACCTTTTCCCGATGGTGCAAAATCGACTTGACATAACTGTTCATCAGTTTCAGGGTTTTCCCTCGAGGTATTTGCATCAAATCAACCCAGTCAAGCTTCAAGTTGAAATTGGCAGGCCAGAAACTGACAGGGTAGCGACTGGGAAAGAGACAGCTAAAGTGCAGGCAGCAAACTGACAGCAGCAGAGTGAAAGGCACACACAGAGAGAAGCTTTTCAACTTTAGTGGGAAGGGGCGGGAGGGGGTGTATGTGAGAGAGAAGGGGAGAGAAGGAGCTTCCTTTCTAAATCTGGTAGGCCTTAAGAGTACAAGGTGCAGAGGATGCTTCTGGAAGGATGCTGGAAGACCCCAAGGTACACCCTTTCCTTCCTTGGCCTAGGCAAGGATGCTCAGGTCTGGTTCAGTAGTGTATGAACTCTTCCAGCTTAATCTGGTTGGATGCCTAAAGAGGAGTGGTCAGCCTTAATTAGATCACAGTCGAAGTTTGGTGGTACCTCCTGTGAACTTTCCAAAGAAACAGAACAGGGAAGGGGGAAGGTAAAGACAGTGAAAAGGAAGATTCCCTATTGTAGACAGAGGGGAGGGGGGAAATGCAACCCAAAGTTGAGCCGCTGTAGGAGACTCCAGTCGAATCCTAGCTTTCCAGAGCTGGAGTCTTTTAAAATGCCATTTTACTCAGTGTTATATAAGTAGTGTAATGGTACGCGGAACTGTAGTGTAGGGGCATCTGTCTGTCTATCTGCTGCTTTTCTTGTGCAGCACAGATTATTTAAAACACACACACACAGACAAAGCTGGCGAGAGACTGTCTCTACACAATTATGGAATTCAGAGGAAACATTGCGTGATGATTTAGCAGCACAGGCCGACTCAGAAGTAAGACTGATGATGTTTTA